AACACAGTCTCGGATCGGACTGCGTAGTATGAGGCAGAATGCCGATTTAGATTCCTTTTCGTCGGGAACAAGTGACTGAGCTTTTCAACGTCAGCTCCGAGTTCGAGCCTATAGCGGCGCGTCAACGTGGTAATTCGTCCGTGGAATCGGCCCTCCTTGCGTGTAACCGGCCCCCGGAGCGACGGCATCAACGGCGGTGGACTCGACCAGCGCGTGTAGGCCGTGCATAGCGGGCAGATCTACGCAAGATAGCGACGTGGCGAGAACTGCGGCACCATTTCGCGCTGCCAAGCATCAGACGTTGGACATGCTACGACGGATTGGATATGAACTTAAAGCATTGATCAGCAATGCCAATGACAATCTAGACTACCGGAGTATATATGTTTATCGAGCTCACACTCAGATAGTTTTTTTTTTTAAGACTGGACTTAGACCTAGAAGTTGAATTATCTGAGTGACACTAATCCACAGTTGCAGACGTTGCTGCATGGTTACTATGGTAATGTAGTGTCGATGGAATGTATTAGATAATGGTAAGCAGTTGTTACGTGTGAATCTTACAACTTCAAAGGATTAGTATTTGACAGCGATGTTGTTGAAAATAGTGAATTACCGAATTTGCTTGGTTTAGATGCTCGGAATTTCACTTTTATGCTACTATTACTAGCAGAGGCTTATTTTGTTTTCGCTATACACAGTCACAGTATGTGCCCATAGACGTAGCATGTAGTAGCTGCTAAGCACATACGGAAATAAGCTAGCCTAATCCTGGTTTTGTGTTACTTGTAGTTAATTGTTGTATTATATATACACTAAATCAAACGGTATATTTTGGAACAATTTTGCATTACGTACAGGCAGTGTACTATACAGTAAACACACTCTGATTATATAACCACTCGATCAGGTCGCACAATTCGAAAACCGGCCAGATATCAGCCATAGTGAACATACACCCAGGTACGCGAATATAGTGAAAAGTCAGAGACGTGATTTTTCTTAGTTGACGTAAGCAAATATTACTCTTTTGCATTATTTTTTTTTAAGGAAGGGAGGAGGGTACCAAGTTGGTCCCCAATGTGTTTGTAGTTGAAGGATATGGCAGTGTCAAAAGACTGCCGCTATTGTTATATTTGTTGTTGGGTCAAGCAAGTTATTGGATCCATGTGTTACCTGTTAAGGTTTTCTTGAGAGTTAATAATATATGTCTTATAGGAACCATAGGGAAGTACACTGAAATAATAGAAGCTTACTTGAGTACATTGTTATGCTAATCACTCTCGAATGGCGCAGTATAATAGTATGGACAAACATTTATTAATTAAGGTGTTATTAAAATAAGCAAGGTTGACTAAGAAGTTAGAAAAGTATAGCATTTCATGTTATGGTCAATGGCGTTGTATTGTACAATTTATTAGAACATGGTTCGTGAAAGGGGATTGTATTTAACTTCAAAGAAAGGGGGATGTTACGATATGACAGTCATGTATCAATACCATATATGTACATCGTGATGACGTCACATCACAACATAAGGGCATTAATAAAATGGCTACATATAACTAATAACTTGGTTCAGCAGTGCCTCCTTATTATGGGCCTTCGGGCACGCTTCACATATATCTCATCCATGACTACGCCTATCGGGCCGACTGTTTCCTGTCTGAATCCATTATACCATCCTGAAATATCAATGACCAGGGGGACGTACGTGTGGTTTGGAGAGATGGCGGGCATCGTTGTTAACATGTAGAGACGGCCTGATCTTGCGGAAAATAATCCTGCATGAATCCAACTGCCGTTTGCTCCTGAATCATACTGTAGAGCCTGTAGCTGAAAGGTATCTCTCCAAAAAGACGTGCCATTGATTGCAGTTCTCCCTCTTTTGGCACGACCTTAATAAAAAGATAGGTCAATACATCACTGTAGTCATCAAGTGAAGATGCCACGACTCGGACCAGAAAGTCCTTGAATTCGTCCAAGAGGCCT